TGTCGTGCAGCTGTACTGTACAGACAGTGACTTGTAGAGTTATTTTATATAGTATATTTTTATGCCATTTGTGGAGTTTGACAGACCCTGGTCACTGCCTGCTTTCACCGAACGGAACAATAATGATGACAGAAACTGTATTTATGGATGAACTAGCCCTTTAAAAATAACACACCAGTGCTCGTGCATGTCAGAGCGGACGCTGCTGGTGTTACCTGCATTGTTGGCTTCTGCCTCCAGTATGTGTATCTCGGTGCAGTCGGCCAGCCAGTGGTCCAGACAGATGTGCAGGAACCGGGCCTGCGTCCGAGAGACACGCTTCAGCAGCGACAGCAGCGCCACCGTCTGCTCACACTCGTTCCAGCCCTTAAACCAGTCCGTCAGAATCCCCACTTGGTCCCGGAACATCATGGCCAGTTTCTTCAGGGGCGGGGGCGGAGCTAGAGGGAGGGTGGGGCTTGTATAAACTGGGGCGGGGTTACAGGCGGTGCTCCAGTCCACTCAGAGAGGCACTGACAAGCCCTCACATGGTTCTGGAGCCCGGTGGACGCCAGCCGGGCACGGGTCAGTGTTCGGGTTCAGGGGTCAAAGGTAGATGCAAACGCAGACGTGACTAGAGCATCTTCACGCGCACAGCTGCACACAGAGCACACGCGTGTTAAACAAAGCACACAAACACTCATTCATTCCTCTTTCTGTCTCAGAGTATCACAGAGCTGCACATAATCAGATTCCCACCGTCCTGCAGACCACAGCAACTCTGAGCGGATTACATCCATCACACACCACTCACAAACCAGGGCAAGTTAGTAAGAGATGACTACATGCAGTCAGAAGAGGGGTACCTTCAGACAGACGGTGTAAAATCAGGGTAAACTGACATGAAATAAACAGTCAGACGAGGGTAAAATACAGTCAGATGAGATGTACATTCAGTCAGATGGTGTAAAATCATTCAGATGAGGTGTAAAATAAGGGTAAACGAGAAAGAAATGAAAATGGGTACATTCAGTCAGGGTAAAACCAGTCAGAAGAGCAGTAAATGCAGTCAGACGGAGAAAATCAGTCAGATGAGCGTAGAATCATAGAATCGGAGGGTTAAGTCGATTAAATATGAAATTAACTGTAAATGTGAAATACATCGGTGTGAGGCGGCGGTGTATCGATAGCCGCTGTTAGCTTTAACACACACACACACACATCACTATTAAAGCCATACGCTATAAACACACACGCAGATAGTGATGAGGATGATTAAATTATGATTTAATGTTTATTAATCGTAATTAGTGCAGAAATGAAATAAACGCTGAACACTGAAGCGCGGCTAACAGGCCTGATGCTAAAGCTAATGCTAACAGCAATCTGACTGAACGCAACATAAACACACACACACACTCTCTCTCTCTCTCTCTCTCTCTCTCTCTCTCTCACTCACACACACACCGTATAACAATAACAACACACCTGATTCATCAGTACACTCAATAACCCACAGTTCATGATGGGAAGCATCGCCAACACACACACACACACACTGAAGCACAAACCCAGAGCTAACACACACACACTGAAGCACAAAACCAGAGCTAACACACACACACTGAAGCACAAAACCAGAGCTAACACACACACACACACACTTACTGAGCGACACGCGTGAGAACAGCGTGGAAACACACAGACGGTCCTGAAGATCACCGGATCACCGGAGCTGCTCTAACGTTACCGACAGACAGCGTCTCTCTCTCTCTCTCTCTCTCTCTCTCTCTCTCTCTCTCTCTCTCTCTGTGTTCCTCGCTCTCACTCACTCACTCAGTCTCTCTCATATGGAAACAGATTAGACTCAATAATAATTCACGCAAAAGACACGATGCACACATGCGTATCCCAATTCACATGCACAAAATAAGAATATACATTCATAAAATACGTTTCACAAATGCAAAACACAATTCACAGATGTACAACTGTGTACAAAAATATTGAATATTTAAAATTCACGCGTTTATCACGGACTGTGAATTAGGGCTGCACGATAAATCGAAATGGAATCGAGATCGCGATTCGACAGAAGCTGATTGTCATGCGTATCTTTCAGTGAAGCACGGTTCTGTGATCAGTAGTAAATCTCCATCCGAAGGCCAGAGAAGTGTCACTCCACAATGCAATAGCAAAATATATAAATATGTATTGTATTTTTATGTTACATTAATCAGTATTTAGCACACCTTTAAGGAAAGGATATGGACCAGAAGACATTGCAATTACTAAATGATATTTAGACAGACTTAAAGAAGTTCCAGATCTATACTTGTGCTCTTATTATTTCAGTTATTTTGCCTTTAATGTAAACAAACATGTGCAAACAATATACTTGCTCTTGTGAATTTATTTTGGTGTTAATTACATTGTGCGAGCTAACACCAAACAAGAGAAAACGTATCTCGTTGCACACCGTTTCCAGGAAACATGTCGTTCAACCCGGAAACCGTAGCAAAACGGTGCACACCGGTTTGAGCTTGAACTTGCCCCAGGTAACGTTAGCCTATAAAGTGTCACTCCACAACGCAATAGCAAAATATATAAATATGTATAGTATTTTTATGTTGCATTAATCAGTGTCTAGCACACCTTCCTAAGGAAAGGATATGGACCAGAAGACATTGCAATTACTAAATGATATTTAGACAGACTTAAAGAAGTTCCAGATCTATACTTGTGCTCTTATTATTTCAGTTATTTTGCCTTTAATGTAAATAAACATGTGCAAACAATATACTTGCTCTTGTGAATTTATTTTGGTGTTAATTACATTGTGCGAGCTAACACCAAACAAGAGAAAACGTATCTCGTTGCACACCGTTTCCAGGAAACATGTCGTTCAACCCGGAAACCGTAGCAAAACGCTGTGCACCGGTTTGAGCTGGAACTTGCCCCAGATCTTACTTTACGAATAAGTTTTAATTCGGACTTATTCAGTTACATTTTAGATACCGAGTCATACAAGTAATATGAAGAATACAAATTATTTCAGGAAAATGAAATATTTGTCATGTGCAATTCATATGTATACGTTATTCTTCTATTACATCGCATTGATATTCGTAGTATTAAATTGCACAGCTTAATGGGTAAATTAATTTATCAGAGACAGAAATTCTACAAAAACACTTTTATTAACCACCAGATGGCGCTGTTTTCGACACACTCGAATCTTTTCCCGAAACCTTCAGAGGAAAGCCTCAGTGCTTCACAAGGCTTCATTTGCCCATCACTAATCCACGTGAATAATGATTATTTATTAAATAAACATAAGAATCTATCAATATTAAATCATAACACAATCTGGACTAAACAGCAGCTGCTGGTCACATTAACGAGTGTGTCTAAACGACCGATTTTACTTCAAGTTTTAAGCAAGCATGCAAAGATAAAACAATACACTTTTACAAGGCTAGTTAACTGAAATGAAACGATCAGAAGCACAAACCTCTGCTGAACCGTGGTCTCGCGCTGATGACGTAACGTCCAGGTAGGCACGCCCACAGCGGGTTATGATTGGTCGATCGACAGGGTTTCGTGCAGGTGAACTGGGTTTCACGCATGTGTGCATCGTGTCTTTTGCGTGAATTATTGAGTCTAATCTGCTTCCATACTCTCGCTCTAATTCAACTCAATTACGCTTTATTAGCATGACTGCGTAACACAACGTTGCCAAAGCATTAACATATAAGTAATAAAAAATAAAGAAACAAACAAAAAAACAACAACGACAAATCAGCAGAAAGTGTTTCACTCTAATTCACAGTTCAAATTCAATTCAGTTTAGTTCGTTTCTATAGTGTTTTTCGCCATATTGTTTCAAAGCAGTTTTACCCCTTGTGGATTTAATAGAGTAGGATCTTTGCCCAAATGACCTTAATTAGATTCAATAAGATCCTTTTTTTTAATGAACACCCTTTAACGGCCTGCTCGACCAAATGGTTGAGCACATTTTGAGTCGAATCCAGGATTTGGTGATAATATAGAATAATGGGAGATTTACCCAGCAGTGTGTGATTTACCTTAGCGCACATACCTAACCCTAACCCTAAACATTAACACAAAAACAGTACTCGTACATCTTTCTGAAACATTTTAGTTGGGCGTTCATCGGATGTGTTATAGATGTTACTAATTGTTTCAGAAGGTTCAGAAGTATTTCTGATGGAATTGATGTTGACACGGATTCATAAAAGCTATAAGTCTTTTCTCTCTGTAGATTTTTGAGGTTCGTAATCCAGACCGAGGAATGGCTGAAGGAGAAATTGTCATTTTTTCGTTAAGCATCATTCAGAAGCTACGCTCAGAACTGATCTCTGTTCAGTGAGAAGTTATTGTTTTAGATATTCCATAATAATTCTTACTTCATTTCATGCATTATGTAAGACATCGTGCCTGTGAGTCTGGAGAAACTGGTTTGTGAATCATGTGCGAGTGAATCAATATCACATAAATCACGTCTCAATCTGCGTTTGGTGATTTTTAGTGCATGACATCAGTTCAGCTCTAGAGAATCACATTCACTTCTAGAAAACAAACTAAATCATTGTTTATTTACAATGTTTACACTGTAATCAGAGAAAAACTACCAAAAAAAGATGCTCACTAATAAGTGATTCGCTGGGTCCATGATGAAAAAGCAGAGAAATGAAACACACACACACACGCACGCATGCACGCACACACACACAGCAAAAAAGGCTTATCTTACTTAGTATTTTTGTGTTGTTTCTAGTAAAAATATCTAAAAATTCATAAAATTAAGCATTTATAAGCACATAAATGCTTATAAATAGCACATAAATGATAAGCACTTTAAGCATTTTGCTTAAAACAAGTAAAATTATCTGTCAGTGGGGAAAGTAAAATATTTTGAAAACAAGATTATTTTATTTACCCCAATGGCAGATAATTCTACTTATTTTAAACAAAATGCACTTAATTAAAATTTTTTTCCCCTGGAAACAAGACTAAATATCTTACGTCATTGTGCTTATCTAGTGAATGCATCGTAATTTAAGAATTTTCAGATAATTTTACTAGAAACAAGACAAAAATACTAAGTAAAATAAGCTTTTTTTGCAGTGCACTCACACGTCTGTGTCGATCTCATGTGATTTCATTGGGATTAAGAGAGAGCTGGACATGAGACTGATGAAACCAGAGTTCAGAGGAGCGAACAGGAACAGGAAACAGCACGAGCTGCTGGTCATTCGCTGTCGCTGGCGTCGCTGGAGTCAGACGCTCTCTCGCTGCCGCTGTGCTTGACGCTGCTGCTGTTGCTCCTCGCGCGCTCACCCTCATCATCCTCACTGTCGTCATCACTGCCGAAGATCTCCTCCTCGTCTCGCGCCTGCCGGTCCTCGCCGCTCTCGCTGCCGCTGCTCTTCCTCTCACGCCTCTTGCTGCTCTCCTCATCCTCCTCCTCCTCTTCATCCGCGGGACGCTCCTCATCCTCACGCTCAGACTCGCTCTCAGAGTTGTCCGAGTCGCTGGCTTTCTCGCGCTCCTCGCCTGAGCACAGAAGAATTGTTACATTCACATCAAAGGAAGGTTTACGATACAAATAACATCATGCACTAAACGCTCATCACAACTGTAATGATAACCATGACTGTAACTGTAAAAATAACTATAACAGCAACTATGACGTTAAGTATAACAACAACTATGATGATAACTATTGCAAAAACTATAGCAATAACAATGATAACTATGACGGCAACTATAACGATAACTACAAAGTATAATAATAACTATGATAAAAATAAATACGACAATAACTACAGCGACAACACACTGAGGTATAGACATTCTACATTGATAAAAAACAACAAAATAACAGTGCTGGTATCGGATCGGTTCTGAAAAATGGTATCGGTGCATTCCTAGTATAAAGATGATAACGTTCTGTTTATTCTAAGCACACACTGCAGTTTTGTCATCTGTCACTTTTATAAGCAATGTTATAATTTTTAGTTGTTCTTGGTGCGAGCGGGTTTTAAATCTCAAAGGGCTTTGTGCTAAACACACACAGGCACATGTAGACTTGTGCCGGTATTCGGTAATGCGATATATCACGGTAATGAATATGCACGATATTGTTATCGTGGGCACTTCTAAATACCGTGAATAATTATATATTACAAATTATTCAGAATTTTGAATGCATTTTAAGAATACTTTTCCCATAAACTGGTCAAAATGCACAACACCGCTGTATGCTGCGTGAAAGACGCATGCGCACTCTGATGTAAACAAGCGCGTGGACGAGAAGCACATGGCGGAACATGTGAGAGACGCTCTGGATGAAAGCGCACTTTCACTCTCTGACAGCAGATGACGCTAAACTGCAGAAATAATAATAATAATAATAATAATGAATAATGTTCATCACAGCGCCAAATACTTAAATATTTAGACTTAATAGGCTATTTATTTTCAAACTTTTTTTTACATTTTAATCTGGACTACAACATGCCCTAGATATTGTTTGAAAGTGTTTTGATTCTTTATTGTTCGGTCACACTTTACATTAGGGCTTCATTAGTTAACATTAGCTTTTGCTCATTGTGAATGTTAATGCATTAACTAAGGTTAACTAATGAGGTCTTATTGTAAAGTGATACCTATTGGTCTTTATAGTTCTTTTGCACTTTAATCTGTGTAAAACTTTTAACTTTATACATTTCTGTATTGCTTTATTGCATTTAAATGTTCAGTTATTTTTGTTATAAGAAAAATGTTATTAAATCTGTTATACTGTATTATGACAGCACTTTTTTTTTAAACAAAATTTTAATACCGTGATAATACCGTATACCGTGATAAAAGCATTAGCAATTAATCGCAACATGAAAATTTGATACCGGCATATCCCTAGGTACATGACACAAAGGTGCTTGTGTTACCAGAGTCCTGCAGGTCTTTCATCATGTCCAGCTCCTCCTCTTCATCCTCGGGCTCATGATTCTCCAGCTGAGCCTTGCGAGCCTCCTGTCCATCAGACACACACAGATCAGTGACTGCGCTCACACCACATCAATGCCTTCTGTGCAAAGGAACTCTATCTGCTGTTCCTGAAGTTAATGTAGCAGCAGCAGATTCTGATCTGAGATCTCAGATGATTGTGATGCGAGGTGTGAACTGACCTGAGCCTCCAGCTCCTTCTCGTTCATGTCTCTGTGTTTGCACACCAGCACAGCGTTCGTAGATGACGGAGCGCCGACCTTCGCTCGCCGCTTGCTCAGACGCACCCTAAAACACACACACGGTCAGTAACACACACTGAGCCGGAGTGGGCGGAGCCGTCTGTGTGATTGACAGTTACCTGGTCTTATTTACATTTTTGGCCATTTTTTGTCATTTTAAATAGTTTGTATTTTTTAATTTTCAGTTTTAGTTTTAACCATTTTTATGTAAGTTTGCTTCTGCCACGGGATCAAAAATAAAAAAGGTAATTATATCGCAATTCAGACTTTTTTTCTCTCAGAAATGCAAGCAGTGAACTCAAAATTATGAGATAAAAAACTTTAATAACTGGAATTTTATAACTCTAAGCAGCTCTGATAAGAAAAGTCTGATTTGTGAGATATAAACTCACTACTGCAAGAAAAAAGTTCCATTAAGTTGTGCATAAAATTTTCCTTCCCAGATTCAGAAATGCTCTGAAAACTCAGATTTAATTATTGTTAATGAACTCCAACCATCTGTAAAATGAGTGCACTTGAATGCTCATTTACAATTAGCATAATCCCACCCATTACCTGTAACTATGTGGATTATGTTAATGGATGTGAATGTTGTTTTTGAGTCTTACACTTCATCAGGCATGTACTCCAAATCCTCGTCCACGTCTCTCTTGCGTTTGCGCATCGTGTCCTCATTTATGAAGTATTTCACTCGCTGGATAATTAAAACAGACATTAACTAGATAGAGCTTCATGATGTCTGTGATGAGGAAAATACACAGGGAAACCTGTCATAAAAACTGAATTTACAGTAGAACAGGGAATATCACGGATTTTGGATTAATAAATCATGAGAATGAAAAAGTTTGGTTCAACTTCATGAAATTATGACGGTGTAACAATACACAAACATGACGGTTCGGTATAGTTTCGGTACAGCAGGAGGAAAAAATAGCCTACTAAACTTTTTTTTTTTTTTCTTTTTCAATTTCAAGTTTTAGTCTTTTTTGTTTTTCTCATTTTTATCAGTTGTTTTTTTTTAATGTCTACATAGTTTTTATTTCAGTTTTACTTTTAGTTATTTTAGAACTTCAAGTCAAATTAAAATGAGAAACGTTGCTTTGGCAACTAGATGAAATAAAATACATTTTAGTAGGGATGTAACGATTAACCGGTTGAAAATCGATTAAAATATGTGACGATTCAAATCGGTTGAGATGCTAAACAAATCACGATTCATTTAGGGGTAGGAGTTTATATGAATGTATGTCTGAGGGGAACTTACTGTCTTTAGAAAAGTTTAGATGGTGAGTGAATCGTTACATCCCTACATTTTAGCATATATATATTATTGGTTTCAGCTGACTGTAATAACTGTGGGGTGTGTGTTCGGACTCACTGCTGGGGTCGATGCGGTACGTGTCAGGGTTGATGAGGTCGATGGTGACGCCCAGATCAGGCTCGGTGAGCAGCTCGTGTTTGTGCTGTTTCTCTAGTGATGTGGCTTTATACTGCACAAACCTGCAACACACAGCACGCGTCACTGCAGCGTATCCCAGCAGCCCTACAGAGCCCAACCCAGCGGCAGACACGCGTCAGAGCCGTACCTGTGCTGGTCAAACGGATACGTGATGAACTTCGGATCGAAGGGGATATCCGGGAGACTGTTTCCATACTTCACTCTGCACACGACGCCAGACCTGCAGCACACAAGAGATTAAACACACCACTGTTTCCAAACAGGTGTCAGTCTGTCAATCAAACAGACAGCCCCGCCCCACTCTCACACGATTGGTCAGAATTTGACATGCGGGCAACTCAAACAAACATCACTGACTGCGTCCTAATTCACACACTACGCACCCCAAATAGTACAGAAGAAAACTAATGTTCAATACAATAAAAAATTATCTACAAATATTTTTGTCGTCGAGCACTCGTTTGATCTCATAAGAGCCTACAGTAATGCAGTTTGACCAAGACTGTCATTAAGCTCTCCTGGATGCAATTCAAGAGAAGAACACACACACACAGCGCTTCAGAGCAAACGCAGCTGAGCGACGTTTTAGATCAATATATAAATATATGCTACGCTTTCCTCTCAATAACAAAATAAACACAACAAACTGACAGCGGTGAGAAAGCAGCAGTTCAGAAAGCATCTGATTACAGAGAGTGGGTGTTTGTTCGGTTCTCCAGTAAAGTCCAGTCACATCACGTTTATTTATATAGCACTTTATGCAATAGATAGCCTTAAATCAAGCGGCTTTACAGCATTAAACATGAAAAACCAGAGTCAGTGTCGCTTTCAGTTACAATTACAACTTGATTTTCTGTTATAATGCAGCTCTCCAGTGTGGAGCGAGCTAATGATAAAATCTGTTTATTAGTGGGAAAAAATATTATTTCATTAAAGTGATAGTTTGGTTTGCAGAGATCAAGCTTGTTTTGATGTTTTGAGTTTCATAATCCTATAAGGTATTTTAAGAGAGATTATGTTGTGAATAAAATAGTTTATCCAAAAATAAAATGTCTTACCTTTCTTTTTGTTTCTTATCCATATGACTTACAAAATGTTCGGCAGAATGATGTTCACTCAGCTACTTATTCATATAGCTAAATAAACGCTGAATGAGAGAGTTTCTCTGTCTCTCATCTCATTTTGTGTGCCACATATGTTTATTTGTATAAATTAATTGCGTAATAATTGTAATTACATAATATGATTTTCAAAAGCTGAAGCGATTACCTTTATTTATTTGTTAGAACTCAATATTTTAACTAATTGCAAAAGCTGAATAATCAAAGTCTACTGATTAATTAGCGAACAATCCACGATTAGTCGATTAATCGCTCTAATGATCGTTACATTAATCAATGATCAAAATAATCGTTTGTTGCAGGCCTACATGAAACTGACACATCTTCATCATCATCATCATCATCATCATCAGTACCTCTCTGGGACGCTTCTGTGAGCTGAAGTCCTGTAGTAAACACAAAACACACGTTACACACTACTGAGGCATCGTGAGATACTAATGAGACACGACCAGTTCACAACACCCACTTCTAATGTCTCTAATTAAACACAACAGAGTAATTAGCGCGATGAAGAGTTCTCCAAGTGGAGGTACGTGTGTTTTACTGGTCGTGTGTGCGATATAATATATATAATATAATATTCGTGTGTTTTATCGGGTTTGTAATCGTGATCTCTCTCACCGGTGTCCGTCCTCGCGCTGCGCCTGCGTCTGTATTGTAGGAGCCATGGTGGAGAATCTAAACGCGCTTCTCCACGCAAATGATCGATAAACAACGGCGAAACACAAACAATTGACAGTTTAAATCAGTTTATCGACAGAAACGACAGCAGCGCGCGCGGCTGTGTGCGACTTCTGCTGAAGGACCCCGCCGCCGCGGCTGCCCCCATCAGCGCCTGAATCAAACTCACACGCACACAGACAAATTACACAAACTCTTTATATGCATTCACGCATTTATAAACTTCTATAATGATGTATATCAGTGTTTATTCATGTAGTGCAGTTATATGAACAGAGGTGTTTATTTTAGCTGTGTAATTTCATGTAAACACACTGATGCGTTAGTACATTGCGATGTAGTTTGCTTTCCGTCGTGTTATTTCATAAAGTAGAGAAGAAAATGTTAAACAAATAGATGAACACACGTGATTTAACAACAAACCAGATTTACAAATGCTGTAAAAATTTTGTTCTTTCTTATGCATTAACTAATGTGAACACAAGTAACCTTACTGTAATGTTTGATAAAAGATTAATCGCATCCAAAATAAAGTTTTTGTTTACATAATTGGTGTGTGCTGTGTATATTTATTATGTATATATAAATGCACACACATACAGTATATATTATAGTTATATTAGTTTATATTATAAATAAATATTAACTGCTTTATTTTTATTATTTGGTAAAAAAAAGAAGAGAAATTGGTATAAAAATAGAACGCAATAATTCGATAAAAGTTAATCTGGAGCTGTTAATATTTTCTCAAATGAAATTCCAGCTAGTTAAAAACATGAACTGGTTAAACTCCGTCAGTGTTCACACAGGTAACAGCTTTAAAGAGGTTTCATGTGTTCCTGCTGCTTGTGCGCTGAATCTCGCCGCTCTATCTGTCTGCAGAAACCGTCCATCACAGTCTCTGGAGGTCACGAGGACCCGCTGACCTCTGACCCTGGCGTGATGACATCACTTCCTCATGTCTGCATGTGCGCAGACAGATCGATTCTGTGGGAGAAGATGAACACCTGATTTTGCAGTGTTTGTTTGTGTGATGAGACGAAGGAGAGATAGCAGCGGTTTTCTTTATCTTCCTCTAGACACCAAAGCAGAAATAAAGCTGACCTGCTTAACACATAGAGGAACTGATCCGGATCATCTGCAAGCTCACTGCAGACAAAACAACAAGCGTTACTTACAGAGTCACACCATCATAAGAGCATCACAAATAAGATCTCTGGTTTTAATTGTGATCTATCGCGTCACAGACCTTGAAGCTTCCACCATAAGAACATCTGGTAACACTTTATTTTACAGTGTCCTAGTTACATGTTACATGCACTTACTGTAGTAAATTAACAGTAAAATATGCATAATTACATGCAACTAACCCTAACCTTATAGTAAGTGTGTGCTGTTAATTAACAACATGTAATAAGGACAACTTACAATAAAGTCCAACCAAAAATGCTGTATATTTTAAAGTTTAAAGTACTACAATAATACAACTGCACTATAATATATTATTCTTCAGTGGCAGGCTGGAGAATGTTTACATGAGCTGGACTCACCCTGAAGCCCAGTGATAGAAAACCCCGTCCTGATAGTACAGACACAGAAAGAGCCAAACACTGATGCTCTCCAGCCAGAAGATGAGGAACAGGAACCAGAGCGAGGACAGCAGCAGCTCACACAACATCCTGACACCTACAGAACATCATCATCATCATCACATTTCATTTTATCCAAAGCGACTTACAGTTGGGGAATACATCAAGCGTTTCATCTTAAACAGGCAAATAGACATAGGGAGTGCTCGTCATACCAAGTTTCAAGCATTGTTCAAATAAGTACAAGCTAGACAGAGAGAGATTAAGGAAAGAGAAAGCAAAGTCAGGGATTCAGCGTTCCGCATAGGGGTGGGAAGATCGTTCCACCAGCTAGGAACAGTGAACGAGAATGTTCTGGAAAGTGATTTTGAGCCTCTCTGTGATAGTACCACGAGGCGTCGCTCACTAGCGGATCTCAGACTTCTGGAGGGGATGTAGATTCGTAGTAGTGAGTGGAAGTAGGTGGGCGCTGTCTCAGTTGAATGGCCACTCCTGAAACCTGACTGGTTAGCGTCCAGTTTGTTGTTCTGCGAAAGAAACAATGATACCTGGTTAAGAACAACTCGTTCGAGGGTTTTCTCTATGAATGGAAGGAGAGAGACAGGTCTGTAGCTATCTATAAGAGAAGTTTTTAATGTAGGTTTGAGCCGAGCCTGCTTGAATGCAACGGGGAAAGTGCCTGTGAGGAGAGATCATCATCATCTTCATCATCATGAACAACAACAACATTTTCATCATCATCACTGAACATCACACCATCATCAGACCCTACACAACCACAACAACATCATCATCTGCCTGTCAGTCTGTAAATCACCTGTAATGAGCGACTGGCTGTGCTGATGTGACCGATTAATGAACTAAACACAATATAACAGCGAAATGCTGAAGGAACCGTTTATAGTTAATCTGATCACGCTGAAGCGCCACTTCCGGTCATGCGCGCTCGTATTTCAGGATAAAAGTCCTCATGAAAGCGCATGGAGCCAAAGCAGTTTACGAAGAATTATTTCAAGTCTGAATTTAATTTAAATATCAAAATAATGGTGTTCACAAAGTCATTTGAAAGTAATAAACTCAACAGTAATTTAACTCAGCGGTAAAACCTCACAGAAGTAAAAAAGAGAATGTTTATTATTTAATACCAGCCAAACATCAACCATTAAACCATATCCTTTGACATAACAGTTCTAAAAATATAATCCTCTGGAGTAATTCCGGAAGTTTCTGCCTGATGGCGGAAGCGGAAGTGAAGTCACCGCTACGGTGTCGGCAGGGCTGAGCGAGTTAGCTCGAGTTAAAGCGACTTTATTGATTAAAGTTCACTTATTAAAGTGATTTAATCCATCACAGATCATTAATCAAAGCCTCGTTTACCGCTCAGGAGTGACGCGGTGTCGTCAGACGATACAGGTTCGTGTTTTTGGCTTCTGTTGATTATCTTTCTCTACAGCGCACGGATTTCTGACACGTACCATAGTAACGTTAGTACTATAGTATTCCTAAGAGAATGTAAACACTATACTACAGTAATACGGTGTTATTCAGTCAGTTATTATCAGCCCATCGCTGTACAGTAACTCGTTTATAACTCATCTGTGAGTGACTCACTCTGATATTCGCGCGCTTTCTGTAAACGTATTTTTAAAATGGTTTTCATTGTTAACGAATTGTCAGATTTTTTTGACATGTACCGGTAATTTACATTTATTCTTTTGCCAAACACTTTTATTCAAAGTGACTTACATAAGAATAGGATCAAAGCAATTCGTCAATAATAGCCAATAATACTCATAATGTTTGTAATACACAATGTCAGGCTATTATGAGTGTTTGATCATCTGATGTTATTTTAGTATTATTTCTATACTATTATAGTATTAATTCATATTTTGGAATTCATATTTTTTTGAGCTTTTGTTCTTTTTTATGAGCCTTTTAACGCATTTTTTTTTGTTTAGCTTTATGCTACTGTTTTAGTAATTTTGTTGTGCTTTCGTCATTTTTATTATTTAAAAAAAATATTTCTGTTTAGCTTTATTTAATTTCCGTTTTAGTAATTTGATGTTCTTTTGTCATTTTTATTATTTTTATATTTTTTAAGTTTTATTTTAATTTAATTACTTTAACTTAAACTTTCAGTTAGTTTTCAGTTTTCATCTAGCTAATATTTACATTTTATTTTAATTAAACAAAAAATTACTTTTAATAGCTTTAGTTAACAGTAACTAGGGCTGCAAGCCTGCAACAAACAATTATTTTGATAATCAATTAATCTAATGATTATTAGAACGATTAATCGACTAATCGTGGATTATTTAACTAATTAATCAGTATGCTTTGATTGATTATTAAGCTTTTGCAATTAGTTATAATATTGAGTTATACAAAGGTAATCACTTCAGCTTTTGAAAATATTATGCAATTATGCATATTATGTAATTACAATTATTATGCAATTAATTTATACAAATAAATATATGTGGCACACAAAATGAGATGAGAGACAGAGAAACTCTCTCATTCACGTTTATTTAGCAGCTGAGTGAACATCATTCTCCTTCTGTTCTCCTTCTCCTTCTGTAATTCATACAGATAAGAAACAAACGGTGCTACATACTAATTAAACAGAAATATAAACATACAACAATTGAAGTACAAGAAAAACAGTTATAAACTTATACAACAGTTAACCATCTGACTTACACATATTAGTGCAGCAAACCGATTAATCAATTCAAAATAAACGTTTATGTTTACATACCATATGTGTGTGTACTGTGTATATTTATTATGTGTATATAAATACATGCACATTATGTAAAAAAAAAAATCCCGTAAAATTTACGGTAAAAAAACGGCATTTGTGGTTGCCAGAATTTTCCCGTACAAAATGTGTTAGCAACAGTTTAGGTTTTACGGATTTAACTTAAATTTACATGTAAATACTGTAATTTTATCAACTGATACAATGTTAATGTACCAATCTATGCAAGTACTGAAATCTGCTTTGTACCTTTAATACACTGACACCCACCAAAAGCAGGTGGTGATGAGAGTCACATGATGAACCAACACGCAATAAATATTAATTTAACAACATTAGATGTAACATACCACCCTAATGTACACAACTAATGAGATAAAACTAAGAATAAACAAAGTTGTTTCAATGAAAACACATCAAATGTAACGCAGCGTTTACGGTTATTCACTGTAAGTTATACATTCTTTTTAACTTCCAAAAATGGTATGCTACCGTAAAATTACATGTCATGTCCACTACAGTTTTCTTACCGTATATAGTAGGGCAACTTACCGTTAACCATTTAACAGATTTTTATTATAGCATTTTTACAGTCTTTTACTGTTAAAATCACAGTCATTTTTACACTCAGAATTGCACATGAAAGATTGTCAACAGTTTTAATGTGTTTGAATATATACGAGTCAGCGTGTGTCTGATTGATGAATGCTGTTTGCTCGTTATGTCTCAGAGGGCAAATGGTTTATCTTGCTCTGGTTTTCTGTTGTCTCCACAGATCGAAAACGTGATCTGCATGGACTCGAATGCTAATTTATCATGTTCAGCGAATGTGCAGTGACTCTGGTCTGACGGCGTTTGTCTTGAACGAACACAATCCGCACCGCAGCAGTCATGTCTCTGCCTGAGGAAGCAGGGGATCGTGGGAAGGAGAGGGAGCGCGGAGCCCGGCCCAAAGTGCGTCAGAGCCGCTCCGAGGAGAGACGAGACGGAGCAAGGCAGAAGGGCGCGAGGGGGAAGAAGAAAAGCCACCCTTCGCACAATCTGACCTCGGAGCGGCCCGTGAGCGACGGCTTCGAGTACGGAGATCTTCTGAACAATTCCAGCGAATCCCTGCTCTCCGAACGGGTTTCCGCTGAGGACACGGAGAGCAAGGCGTCCGGAAGCAGCAGAACGCTCCGCCAGAAGATCCAAGACGCAGTAGGCCAGTGTTTCCCCATCAAGACCCACAGCCAAGTCCTGTCCCCCTCGCCGTCCTCCAGGCGCAAGATCCACCTCAGCGAGCTCATGCTGGACAGCTGTCCGTTCCCCGCCGGCTCGGACCTGGCGCAGAAGTGGTACCTCATCAAGCAGCACACGGCTCCCATTTCTCAAGCTCCGGTCCTCGACTCCGGATCCACGCTTGCTGTGGAGGACGAGGACGACCGCTTACGAGAGAGACGACGGATAAGCATCGAGCAGGGAGTCGAACCTCCGCCCAACGCTCAGATCCACACCTTCGAAGTGACGGCGCAAATCAACCCGCTTTACAAACTCGGACCCAAACTGGCTCCCGGGATGAACGAGTTAGCCGGAGACGAGCGCGCAGCGCTGCTCCTGCAGAGATGTTTGGACACGCTCGATGAAGTCGTTGCATCGTCGTCATCAGATTTTGATTTGTGCGCCGCATCTCCGACTCTAGTTCCGCCGGACAGTCCTAAATCACAAGACGGACTCCATCGCATTCACACGCAAATCGATTACATCCACTGCCTAGTCCCCGATCTGCTTCGGATCACAAACCTGCCTTGCTACTGCGGCGTCATGGACCGATACCAAGCCGAAACGCTGCTGGAAGGCAAACCCGAAGGCACGTTTCTATTGCGCGACTCTGCGCAGGAAGACTACCTCTTCTCCGTCAGCTTCCGGCGGTACGGCCGCTCGCTGCATGCGCGCATCGAGCAGTGGAATCATAACTTCAGCTTCGACGTGCACGACCCCAGCGTGTTCCACGCTCCCACCGTCACCGGCCTGCTGGAGCACTACAAGGACCCCAACTCCTGCATGTTCTTCGAGCCGCTGCTGTCTAACCCCATCCACCGCTCGCAGCCCTTCAGCCTGCAGCGCATCTGCCGCGCCGTCATCAGCAGCAGAACCACGTACGACGGCATCAACGCTCTGCCGCTACCCAACGCTCTGAAGGAGCACCTGAAGGAGTACCACTACAAGCAGCGCGTGCGCATTCGCAGACTGGACACCTGGTGGGAGTGACCGGGAACGAGACCGGAGTAGTGCTGTCAGACGATTAATCGCATGCAAAGTACAAGTTTTTGTTTACATAACATACAGTCAAACCAAAAATTATTCAGACACCAGATATATCATTTTTGATGTTTGTTTACTAGTGCGTGCAGGACACTATAGTTCATTTATGTAAGTGATGATAGCAAAATAAAGTAACTGTGACATATTACATCCAAAAATTCTTCATACAGTAAAATATGGGATTAAAAAAATATTCAGGCATGTTTTGCTGAAGTGTTATTCTTTAATTGCTAATGTGATATTTTACACCACAGACTGAACAGAATGAAGCACTGCTTGGTAATTAGTTGAGCTAAATTGGTTTTATCTAATTGTGTTCTTAAATTTAACAGCTGACAGCTATTCAACCGAATTCATTACATACCTTTCTATCAAAGTTATTATCAAAATGAATTTGTTCTTCTCATATTTTAGTACCATTTTCTAAAATATAGCCAATAAACTGTGATATAATGTGAGAACTGTTAAAGGCGTCTGAATACATTTCGGTTTGACTGTATGTGTGTGTGCTGTGTACGTTATGTATATATATAAAAAAACATGCATGTATATATTTAAGAAAAATAAGTTATGTTTATATATTTATATATATATAATATAAGAATATAAATGTATATACATGCAAATATTTTCAAAATATATACTGCATGTGTGTGTATTTATATATACATCATAAATGTACACAGAACACACACATATATTATGTAAACAAAAGCTTTTATTTTGGATGCGATTAATCGTTTGACAGCACTAGACCGGAAGTGCCACGACGCCTGATATGAAGACGTGAGTGCCTTTCTGACGCTCCTCATCTTGAGGTTTAAACGCTGTTAGCTCGTCACAGGGAGTAATTAACTGAGTAACACTGAATCGGCAAGCCTTTCTTATTTTAGAATATAATTTTTATCAAGACAAGTGTTGCATTTGGGAGTTACGGCCCGTTCACAACAAGAACGATAACTATAACGATGATGACTATAACAATGACTAACGTAGACTTTAACGTTGTTTCTAATATTAACAATATACGGACTCTAGCGTTGACTATAACGATATAGCATTGACTGTTGAATGTCCATTTTTATATGATATTAGGCAACATTTTATTCAAACAATTTAGTAATGGACATTTTTTTTTTTTAAGTTTCTCGGAATAATTTTCGAAATTTTTTCGCACATTAAATTGAAAAATTCTAGTTTTTTGTTGCTGTTGCCATAATTGTTATATTAAGTATATAGGCATTTTTTTGTATGTTGGACGTTTTTAAGATAAAATTGTTACATTATTGTAAACAATGAGTTGAAATGATATTGTCATTATTATAAAACTCTTGATTTTGCCATGAATATAGCCATTGCTGCTGATATGGCGTTAAATCTTTAATAAATAAATAATGTTGACTATAAAATTGACTAAAACAATATAACGTTGACTGTAACAATAAAACATCGACTGTAACATTGATTGTAATGTTGACTGTAACAGTGATTATAACAATATAACGATGACTGTAACAGTGAGTATAACATTGACTATAATGATAATTATACCGATGACTATAACGCTGACTGTTGCAATAATTATTGACTAAACGTTGACCATAACGATAAATATTATGTTAAGTATAGTGATGACTATAACCATGACTATTGTTAAATATAACGACAGCGATAGCTATAACGCTAACTACGTTAGTGTCCACACGTTAATGTTCCATTTATTCTAAGAGCGTGCCGTCTCTTTAAAAGCTCAAGCTCTTTAAAGTCAGTGCATTCTGATTGGCTGTAAATGTTTTTATCATTCATCAGCTGAAAAAGAACACACTAAAGGTGACACAAAAACTCCTCTGTGTCGTTACTGTTATAGTTATCGGTATAGTTATTGTTCTTTAATGCAGCAGGTTGGGTTTCTTCTGTACACTGGAGAACTGCTGCTAACGGAGCGTCTCAGTATCTTCTCCATCGACCCTGCACTCCTCTTCACTCCCAAGATATACTCCCAGTATACTCACGATTCACGCTCAGCATGCATGTCTGCTCGTTTAATCACAGCACACTCGTCAGAGACAGATATGCTTCTGCCACATGATGCTTCATTCAAGAGCGGATCATTGCACCAAATCTTGAGCCTGTAGACGAGTAGAACAGACCAAATCCACAGTTTTAGCCGAGCGGATCTTGACTGAAGATCTCATTCTCATTGACTCGTCTCGTTTAGTGTAATGTGAGAGCTTGTGTGTGATTTGATTTGGGAAAGACAGGATTCTCTGAACGCCGAGGGCTGGTTTTCCATCTGGACGTCAGAGATGTATTGGTATCACTCATTCATTCATTCCACTGCATTGCTTTTGTTTTTAATGTTTATTCACTGTATCGCATTGTGATTCCACCCGAGGCATGTTTTAGTGGTTTATTTTATTTAGAAACCAAATATCTGAACTTTCTCAACTACTGAACCCCATTGAAAACAACAGAGACGAGAATGTTAGAAACGCTTGTAAAACTCTATGAAAATGTCAAAGACGTTCCAGAAAATGCAGCATTGAATCTTAAAGGGGTCATATGATGCGATTTCAAGTGTTCCTTTCTCTTTAGGGGCCAAACGTCATGTGTTTGGAGACGAAACGAAATCAGACAGCCGTTGCAGTGTGATTAAACAACTGTTAGTGTATTTATAACATTAACCTGCTGTCTCTGTTGGGATCTTTTGTGTGTGTCGCCTTGCTGGTCAAGTCTGGATTGATGTGAAGCACAGTGAGTGTGTTTAGTTTTGTGTCGACAGTTTACTGTGATTTCATGAACTTCTGTTCTTAAAGCAGCTTGCCTTGGGTTTTTATTTTTTTACACTATTTATTTATTTTCTATATTAAGGCTTGCCTAATATGCTTAGCATTTTTTTCACGTGTTTCTCATATATTAAAGCCAAGTGTGAATACTTTTATTGCTGTGTACGGTGTAACAAAAGCACATATTAATAAACTATGTTGGATCTTTTAAGACGCTCTGGTGTTGTTTTTGTCATTTCATTGTTGTCAGGAGCTACCAATGCTATAAAAAGGATTTCCTAAATGTTATTTTATTTTATTATATTGTGAAAAAAAACACTAAAGTTCATACTACTTCCCTAGACATTTCCAGATACCTTCATTATGTTACAATTGATTAAAATAAATTATTTTAGTCGTATATTTATATTATTATATTTTTATATTATATTATTTATATAATTATATTTCTATCGTGTGCAAGCGCATGCATTGTTGCGGGACTTTTATTCTGAAGCGCGGCTGCCGCGGCCGCCATGTTCCGGTCGGTTGCTGTGGTGGAGACGCGGCGCTTCGGATTAAACTTTCCGTTTTAAATTCAGAAAATCCTCTGAAATTTAAAATAAATCCTCTGAAGTAAAGCTGTACAATCACACAATGCTTTTAAGTTCACGGCAGAACTGAAGGCGCGGGATCAGAGAGCAGGTGAGGATTAAACTAATCGCGTTAAATCAGTAATTATTAAACGGTGTTATTATTAAGAATGATCGTGTTTCGTGTTCAGCGTAACGTTACGCGACGCTTGTCTTTACGGACGATTTGCTTTTATATTGTTCAAATTTACTCGTTCAGGCTTGTGTTTTCATTAGATATCACCAGTGCTTCAGTTATGATCTATATCTGCGTTTACATATTTATGATTCTCAAAGAAAAGCGATTCGACCGTTTATCTGAGGTAAACGCAAACAGATCCGTGTCGACGTTATGTGTATTTTTTCATGTTTATTTAATACGCAGTGGTTTTTATTTGTAAGTACGTGTTATATGCTGAATGTGATGTGTTTGTGAAGTTTTAATTTGAAGTAATTGAGTGAGATTAATTGAAGGCCGTCACCATGACGACCACGGGGCTGCGCATCGGAGATCAGCTGGTGCTGGAGGAAGACTATGATGAGAGCTACATCCCTTCAGAGCAAGGTTACTCGTACTCTTCATCACACACGCTATGACCCTCATATGTCTTCATGAACACCATCCACAACTGTGATGTACTAAAATAACTACAACCAAAACTGAAATAAAACTTTTTAAAAACTATTTAGAGATTTAATAAAACAACTCACAAAAATGCAAAAAAATAACAAAACATAAAATGCAAACGGAAACTATAAAAATAAAAACTATTGTAGTATCTCAGTGATACCAGAGTAATACTGGTCTTGAACAGTAAAATAAATACAACAAATAATACTGTGACTTATAAATACTTTACAATTCAAATAATGTATTATTTTTGTCTTATTGCAGTACTTAGAATTTGTCACGAATAACTGTCATTAAAATAATGTCATTAGTGTCCTAAGGAAGTGACTCTCTGTGTGTGTGTTCAGTCAGGACGTCACCGGTGAGGTGTACTACTTCAACTTCTCCTCGGGTCAGTCCACCTGGGATCATCCGTGTGATGAACACTACCGCCAGCTGGTGGAGCAGGAGCGCGAGCGCAACCAGCATGCTAGAGCCGCTCCAACCGCCGTGAAGAGAGACAAGGAGAAGAAGAAGAAGAAGGACAAGAAAGACAAGAAGAAAAAAACGCAGGAAATCAAAGTTCCAGGGGTGAGAACATCTTACAGGAACATTCAGCAGCGTTCAGAAGTCTCTTCTGCTCACCAGAGCTGTGTTTATTTGATCACAATACAGTAAAAACACTGAAATATTATTACAGTGTAAAACAGCTGTTTTCTATGTGAATATCTGTTAAACTGTAATGTATTTCTGTGATGCGCAGCTGTATTTTCAGCATCATTACTCCAGTCTTCAGTGTCACATGATCTTCAGAAATCATTCTAATATGCTGATTTGCTGCTCGCGAAACATTTCTGATTATTATCAATGTTGAAAACAGTCGTGCTGCACAATATTTTTGTGGAAACTGATACGTTTTATTTTTCAGGATTCAGAGATGAATAGAAAGTTCAAAAGAACATTGAAACAGAAATCTACTGTAACATTATAAATGTCTTTACTGTTACTTTTGATCAATTTAACGTATCCTTGATTAATAAAAATACTAATTTCTGACCCTAAACTTTTGAATAGTAATGGATCGTGGTTTCCACAAAAATGTTTTCAACATTGATAATAATCAGAAATGTTTCTTGAGCAGCAAATCAGCATATTATAATGATTTCTGAAGATCATGTGACACTGAAGACTGGAGTAATGATGCTGAAAATACAGCTGCGCATCACAGAAATAAATTACAGTTTAACAGATATTCACAGAGAAATTCAGATTTGTGTATTTGCTATGATGTTCATCACAGCGCCAAATACTTACATATTTAGACTTAATAGGCTATTTATTTTCAAACTTTTTTTTTACATTTTAATCTGGACTACAACATGCCCTAGATATTGTTTGAAAGTGTTTTGATTTTTTATTGTTCGGTCACACTTTACATTAGGGCTTCATTAGTTAACATTAGTTAATTCATTAGTTAACATAAACTGCCAATGAAAAATTCTTCTGAACATTCATTAATCTTAGGTATTCCAATATTTAATAACAGGATGTTAAAATCGAGAGTTGCAGTTGTGTTATTTAATGAGCTAACATGAACTAAGACTTGTATTTTTTAAACAAGGATTAATAACTTCTGTAGCAAATGTTGCTATTGCTCATTGTGAATGTTAATGTATTAACTAAGGTTAACTAATGAGGTCTTTTTGTAAAGTGATACCTATTGGTCTTTATAGTTCTTTTGCACTTTAATCTGTGTAAAACTTTTAACTTTATATTTTTCTGTATTGCTTTATTGCATTTAAATGTTCAGTTATTTTTGTTATAAGAAAAAAGTTATTAAACCTGTTATACTGTATTATGACAGCACTTTTTTAAACTAAATTTCAATATCGTGATAATACCGTATACCGTGATAAAAGCATTAGCAATTAATCGCAACATGAAAATTTGATACCGGCATATCCCTATATTGGAGTTGTGATTTGTGAGTGTGACCTGTGTTTTGGGTTTTGATTTGGATTCTGTGCATCAGGCTGGCGTGTCGAGCTCTGCTGCTTCCAGGAGCGTTCATGAGGAGAGGAGCGCTGAGGAAGACGAGGAGGTCTCTGAGGAAGAGGTGAGTCTGAAACACACACACACACACTGCCTGAGTCCCACTGAACGCTGGATCAGATCTAAGTGTGTGTGTGTGTGTTTAGAGGCCACGGGATTCAGCCGGACTCCTGCAGAACCTCCATCTGGATCTGGATGCTCTGGGAGCAGGGCTGCAGTACGAGGTGAACACAAACACAGCACATGAATGCACATCAGTCTGACTCTCCTCCTTAGCACTGCAGGGCTGTCAGAATCGCTGAAAAACTACATTCGAATCTTGTACTTAAATATTATCAATATTCTAATTATATTTGAATTTAAAATGCATAATTTCAGTTAGGGGGAAAAAAGCTTTTGGCTTCTCTCCTGAGGCCACAAGAGGGCGCATCGAGCAAAATATGACTAAAGCACGTTTCTTCAAAGCAATAAAATAACACGACTATTTTTGAAAAAGGTGCATAATGTTTAAAATGTGACCATGGACCACAAAACCAGTCATAAGGGTCAATTTTTTTAAATTGAATTGGTTTGTTAGAATAGAGATGCAACTATTTGAAAATCTGGAATCTGAGGGAGCAAAAAAATCTAAATATTGAGAAAATCATCTTTAAAGTTGTTCAGATGAAGTTCTTAGCAATGCATATTACTAATCAAAAATTACGTTTTGATATATTTACGGTAGGAAATTTACAAAATATCTTCATGGAACATGATCTTTACTTAATATCCTAATGATTTTTGGCATAACAGGGCTCTACGCTTACTTTTCTTTTTAGGAGCACTTGTGTCACAGTTGTCATGAAGGGCAAAATTAGCTATATAGACGAAAATAATTTTTTGAACCAGGCTGTAAACATGTTTTTTTCTGCTGTAAAGTTGGGCATTTTAACATGGGGAGTCTATGGGATTGACTCCCTTTTGCAGCCAGCCTCTAGCGGCCAGTTGATGAATTACAGTTTAAGTCACTTTTGTGTTGGCTTCACGAGAGAGAGCGGGAGGTTGCCACTTGGTGTGTCCGCAGCTTTGACTGTGAGTGTGTGTGTGTGTGTGTGTTTCAGGACAGTGAGGTCAGTGTGACGGTTCCTCCTGAAGAAAGAACAGAACCTGAACTGCAGGATTTGGCCCTGTCGAGGGATCACAGTCCAGAGGCGCCTTCAGAGGTACCTGTCTGTCTCTCTGTCTGTCTCTCTGCCTCTCTCTCTGTCTGTCTCTCTGTCTGTCTCTCTTTTGCTCCTCTCTGCAGCTTCTCTGTGTGTCTTTGTTAATAATACGCCTGTTTGTTTGAGGGATTTGCATGTGACCTCACAGCTGTCTGTCTGTCTGTCCGTCTGTCTCTAACTGCATCCCTCCACTGTAAGGACTCGCTGTGTGGACGTCACCTCCATTCCACAGCAGCTTCACGACCTCTGACCCCGGATGCTGCGGCGTCCAGCGGCCGAGAGGAAGACGAGCAGATGAGCGAAGAGGAGAACGCACAGATCAGAGATGAAGAGACCGAGAACGATGAGGAGATCGAAGAGCAGATTGAGGGATCCAGCAGTCCTGAGGAGAAACAGAAGGACCGGACGGAGGAGAGAACTGAAGAAGAGAGTAAAGATGAAGAAAACAGAGAAGATGAGAATGGACAGATCAGAGACGAAGAGACCGAGAACAGAGAGAGCGAGGAGGTCGATGAACAGATCGAGAGATTCAACAGTCCTGAGGAGGAGGAGAGGAACGCGATGGAAGAGAAAAAAGAAGAGAGAGATCAGACTGAGGGTAAAGATGATGGAAACATGGAAGAAGAGAACAGAGACGAAGAGACGGAGAACCAAAAACACAAACAAGAAGAGATAGATGAAGTTGATGAACAGATTGAGAGATTCAAGAGTCCTGAAGAGAAGGAGACAACAGAAGAAGAAGAAAGGAAAGGAAGCATAGAAGAGAACGGACGGATCAGAGGTGAAGAGATGCACAACACAGAGAGCGAGGAGAGTGATGAACAGATCGAGAGATTCAAGAGTCCTGAGGAGGAGGAGAGGAACGCGATGGAGGAGAGAACAGGAGGAGGAGATCCGACAGAAAGCAAAGATGATGGAAACATGGAAGAAGAGATGATTGAAAGAGAAGAACAGGCTGAAACACACAACGGAGAAGCAGAGGCCGTCAGAAGTGTTTCCTCTGAGGAGGAGGAGAAAGAGAGACTTTCAGAGCATCAGGAGAGTGAGGCAGAGGAGGATAAACGTGAGGAAGAGCAGAGAGAGACTGAAGGACTCGTCTCGGAGGCTCAGAGCGACGGCTTTCAGAGTAACAGCTCTCGCCTTCAAGTAACTCGCGTTAAAGCAGGGAAGTTTGTGCCTCAGTGGAATCCAGTGTCCAGTGAGGTAGGACTGAGTGCCCTAACCCTGTTCGCCAAGCCCCGCCCACCCCATATGCTCCGCCCCTCCCACCTGTGTTTAGGTGCTTCACTCCGTCCCACACAACACATGCAGCACTGGAGTCTGTGATTGTTTGGGGATGCGTGAATCACCTCTGGAACCTCTGATTCAGTGATTCGTTCGTTCAGTGATTCGTTCGTTTAGTGTTTGTGTGTCGGTGTGTGTCACTGCAGAGAGGAGGTGTGTCTCAGCACAAGTCATGTGACATCAAGAGCACCTATCAGGAACAGTCGTTGTGCAGGATCAGATCCGCTGCATAAACACAGTTACTTAAGGTCCTTGCACACTGAGTCCGAAATTTTTGTATGCGTTTTTTTCGTATCCGTCATCCTTTCCTATCAAAATTCTTGCTACAGATGCGAAAACGCAGAAAATCAAACCTTATCCGAATTTTTTTTATGACGGACGAAAGTTTCGGAGGCAGTGTGTAAACGTGATTGACACAACGTGAGGTCGTATTTATTTTTTAACGTGCGAAAATTTCAGACGAGAATTTCGGACTCGGTGTGCAAAGACCTTAAGAACTAGTCTAGCCGTTAGTCAAGAGGTAATCAGACCGATTTAGCCCTTTATGTAATGAGCAGTCTTGAAGAAAGAAATTAGATGACTGACTAGTTTAAGCCAGTCAGAGCTCCTCTCTGCAGCAGAGCTGAATCTCCCAGCATCCTCTCCTCATACTGCTGTGTGTGTTATCTGTGTGTGTGTGAGCTGATGTACGTGTGTCTGATGTTGTGTCCTGTTCTGTGACAGGAGTCTGAGGACGGTGAAGCAGCAGCGTCGCTCTCATCCGCTGATAATGTGCAGGTATGACCTCGTCAACACACACACACATACATATATATATATATATATATTACTGCTGTCAATTGATTAAAAAAAATTAACTAGTTTGTGATTGTACCTAATGTGATGCAGAGGGAGTGGAAAAGGATTTTTTGATGGTCGCTGTGGGTGGTTGGGATGGCATTTAAAATGAGGAAAATTTAGTGTGTTGCACTTTATTCCTATTTATGTATGTCTGTATAACTATTTTCTGTAACACTTAATAAAAAATTGATCAAAAATGTATATATATATATATATATATATACAATATAATTTTAGTATAATTTTTTATGACTGAAGGCCAGTATCACTGATACCAATACTACTGATGTCTCTAAGAAATTGTTCTTTTTCCCCCAATATTTAACCATTGACTAGCCATTCAACATTACAGTATAATTGAGAGCTATCAAGTTTAACATTTATTAGACTTTAAAAAATAACAACTTCTAATTTAAGTGAACTTAAAACCATCTCAAATATCACATTTAGCTACCTGTGCCCTTCAGCACGTTGGAAATATACAGAAATTGTATGAAGTTATCAAACACTAAATTCTAAATTAAATATAGATGAATCCTTAAAGCTACAAAAGTGATTGATTTCCTCTTTTTTTTTTTTGTTCTTTTGTTCTTTGATTAACAGACATCACAGCAGCTGGTTATTAGGTTATTTGGCTGCTATTACTTTAAGATCTGACACGCATGCTTGTGGTTTCATTAGCGCTTTTAATATGAAATGATACAGGCTACAGCGCGCACTGCTGTATTTGTGCGTGTGATTGAAGAGCACACGCTATGAGCACAGTATAACTGCTGACAGAAGCTTCAAGATTTGAAGACTGTTTGTGTGGGAGAATGAGCCAAACTCACACCTGAGCAATGCATGCCACTAGTTTCTCCAGACAGCTGTCATTAACAACAAAGCCTTTTGCACAAAGTATTGAAAACGTTTCAGTAGTTCAATACTTTTCCCCTGTGTCATTCCACTTTATTACACAGAACTTAATTTCTGATCTTATTTGTTTTGTTGTCTTTGTATGTATGGATTACTTGGGTTGTTACCGACATCTGGTGAAAATCTCATGTCAACAGCACCTTTAGAAATATATTTACTGAGAAAAATGGTGACGTGTTCAACACTTATTTTACCCGCTGTATATATACTGTATGTATGTCTGGGTTGTGTGTGTCATTATTTTTATTCTTTTTGTTTCCTCAGGCTGGTTTCCGCTCCAAACTCTCAGAGAATGTGTTTGATCTGCTGGATCTGTCACCTGCAGTGGTAACACACACACACACACACACACACACAGAGAGAGACTAAATGAGTCTTTAAACCTGTGGAGATGAGAATATAAAAATGTGTGTGTGTGCGTCTCTCAGGACAGGAAGGAAGCTGAGGGCGAGGCAGATGTGGACAGCTGTGTGGATGTCTCTGACTCTGCAGACAGGTGTGTGATGATGATGATGATGATGATGATGGTGGTATAAGTTAGGGATGAGCAGGAGCACTGATCAGTCCAGTAAGTGAATGCATTCAAGCAGTATTGTATTTAGCTTCAAACCACAAACTCTCTCATATTCAATGATTGTTTCGGAGCATAAGGAGCCCAGAACGGCAGGTCAAAATATGCAGTTTGTAACTATTTCAGTTCATATTTATTTTACTTTTAATGTTTATTCATAATGAAAATTCATTAATGTGTTTTTAATGTTTTTAGTTTTAATTATTGATAATAATGATGATTTGTGACTTTTATCAGGCATGTGTCGCGTGATGAAGAAGAGAAGAAGAGACAAGAAGAGAGGGAGGTAGAGGAGAAGAGAAAGCGTGAGGAAGAGGAGAAGAAGAGACGAGTAGAGAGGGAGGAAGAGGAGAAGAGAAAGCGTGATGAAGAGGAGAAGAAGAGACAAGAAGAGAGGGAGGTAGAGGAGAAGAGAAAGCGTGAGGAAGAGGAGAAGAAGAGACGAGTAGAGAGGGAGGAAGAGGAGAAAAAGAGACAAGTAGAGAGGGAGGAAGAGAAGAGAAAGCGTGATGAAGAGGAGAAGAAGAGACGAGTAGAGAGGGAGGAAGAGGAGAAGAGAAAGCGTGATGAAGAGGAGAAGAAGAGACGAGTAGAGAGGGAGGAAGAGGAGAAGAGACGAGTAGAGAGGGAGGAAGAAGAGAAGAGAAAGCGTGATGAAGAGGAGAAGAAGAGACGAGTAGAGAGGGAGGAAGAGGAGAAGAGAAAGCGTGATGAAGAGGAGAAGAAGAGACAAGAAGAGAGGGAGGTAGAGGATAA